GGCTGCTGTTTTGAAGGATGGAAAAAGCAACCTGGATTTTTTTTTGAAGGAAAATTTGTATTATTTTAATTATTTTTATGTACAGAAAACTCAACAGTGTACACTTAACCCGGTTTAGTGGCAAGTTCTTTAACCTTTGCCTTTTTGAGCTTGGTGATGCGAGCCACAGACTTGGGACCCAGGACGTTGCCTCCCCAGTGACGGTGGATCTCATCATATCTGTCATTGTAATTGGTCCTGATAGCTTCCACCAGCTTAGCCAAAGCGCCTTTGTCTTACGAATTCACCTGCGTGAAGGCGACGGTCGTGCAGGTCTTCCTGTGGACTAGATGGCCCAGTGTTGCCTTCCCCTTGATAATGCAGTAAGTGACTCCATTTTACAACACAAGGCAGGCAGGAAGACAACCGGCTCGATGGAATCCATGTCGTGTGCTATCTCCACCAGCTGAGCTTTCTTGTTCTCCACCGAGGTGGTGACAGTGTTAACTCCTGCTCAAAGGACAGGTGGTCTCTTAGTGGGGACATCCCCTTTGCTGGTAGCTTTCTTCTCGGCCCGAGCCAAGAGCCTCTGCTTCTTCTCCTACTTTGTCTCAGGTCTGTACTCGTGGGCCAGGCTAAGCAGCTGAGGAGGTCTGGCAGTCCAGGGCCTGGGTGAACTGGTTAATCACAGGAGGCACTTCCGGCCGCTTATAGAGGGTGGCTCTCTGCCGCTGCAACCTGATAGAGTGGGGCCATTTCACAAAGCTGGCGAGGTCCCTTTTGGACTGGATGTCCTGTCCAGTGCCAAAATTCTTAGGCCTTTTCTCAAGCAGGGGATTCACCACTTTCTCGGCTTCCTGCTTCTTCACGACAGCAGTGGCTGGAGCCACCTTCTTCCCCTCAGCCTTCTTTCCTTTCAGCATCTTAGGCAGCGGGAGGAGACAGCGCAACTTGGATGTCTAAATTGTGGCACACATAAAAATAAATCCCAGCCTAATTCAATATTGTAACAAAATATGAGAGGCAGCCAGGCATGGTGGCTCACGCCTGTAATCCCAGCACTTTGGGAGGCCAAGGCAGGCGGTTCACAGGTCAGGAGTTCGGGACCAGCCTGGCCAACATGGTGAAACCTGTCTCTACTAAAAATACAAAAGTTAGCCGGGCATGGTGGCGGGCACCTGTAATCCCAGCTACTCAGAGGCTGAAGCAGGAGAATTGCTTGAACCCAGGGTGGGGAGGTTGCAGTGAGCCGAGACCGTGCCCTTGCTTTGGAGACAGTAGGAGAGACGTCTTTATAACGTTGGGATAGGAAAGGGCTTTATAAGCAAGACCTCGAATTTCAAGAGGAATCTATTCCTTTGTCCCCCTTAGAAAGTCAGGTTTTGACTGATGCAGAATCCAAATGAACCCACCAAGATGAACTATCTGAAGAAGACTTCTCCAAGCAGCAGAATTAACCAGGCCAGGTTATGTAGTTATTCCATGTCAGCCTTTTTTTTTGTTTTTTTTGAGACGGAGTGTCGCTCTGTCAGTCAGGCTGGAGTGCAATGGTGCAATCTCTGCTCACTGCAACCTCCGCCTCCCAGGTTCAAGTACAGGTATGTGCCACCACGCCTGGCTAATTTTTGTATTTTTAGTAGAGACGAGGTTTAACCATGTTGGCCAGGCTGGACTCGCACTCCTGACTTCATGTGATCCACCTGCCTCGGCCTCCTAAAGTGTGGGGATTACAGGCATAAGCCACTGCGGCCAGCCCCACATCAGCCTTTCTCATGCTGCCAGGTGCAACAGATAAAGCACCTTTCAGCATCAGCCACTGTACCTATGGGGAAACTGAGGTGAGCAGAAGAGAGACACCTGTGCAGGCTCACGAAGTTGAGAAGAGGTGGAGCCAGGACTTGAACCCAGGCCCTGTGACTCCAGTGCTCTGACCCACTACCTCCCTTATCTGCTCCTCGTAGAACCGCGGGGTCCTTCAGGGTGCAGGGAGATGTCTCCTGTGGCCACCGGAGCACAGCTGTCTCACTCAGGAATGGGGTTGGAAGTCACTTTTACTTTTTCGTTTCACTTTAATAAAGTTTTTTTTTTTTTAATTTGGAATAAGCCACATCATTTGTGTAATTAGCAAAAGACTACATTAACTGACCCCCTGACCAAATAAAATAAAATAAAATAAAAAGCCAGCTACCCCTTGACAAAGCAAAGGGCCTGAAATAGGGCAATCAGGTTCATTCCTCGCATCCGCGGCTGCCCAGCCTGGTGAGATCAATTTTCCTGATGGGACTGATTTTTTAGGGCCCAACAGCATCTGCGCGAAGTGGACAGCAGGTGGCGCTGCCTCCTCGTAGAGAAACAGCCCAGCGCGAAATCCCTGGGGCGGGTCAGAGGCTGCCCTGCAAGAAAGACCCTGCTGCCCTGCGTCCTCTTTCGTTTCCCAAGACGTTTCCTGACCCTGAGCTCTCTCCCTGGGGCGGGCATCGCGACGAAGGCCCCTGGGAAGTGAGCTAGGACCTCCTGTCCCTCCTGTCCCCATGGCCCACATTTGCTATGGCCTCGCCCAGCCTCCCCTGGCTGCCTCCTCTTGCCCTGCCCACGTCGCTGGCTCGCCTCCTGCACCTGGACCGAGGCGGCGCAGTCCTCTCTGCTCACCCAAGCTGGTGACCCGCCGAAGAGTCACAGCAGAAAGCCCGTGTGGGCCAGTGCTTCCTGCCTCACGGAAATGCCATGCGCTGATAGATCACGGCCTGTTTGGGGGTAAGTGTCCAGAAGAGAAATGTTGCTATCCTCTTCCAGGGACATTTGCAGACTCAGCATGCTTCCCGGTGGCCCAGACCCCAGACCTGCTGGGGAACAGGGGGTGGGAGGAACA